TATATATATATATATATATATATCCTTCCTCATCAGATCCACCAAATACATCTGTATTTCTTTTTGCAGTATATGCATAAGGACTATGTACAGAGGCCTACTAACTTCCAAGAAACCATTTGAATACAATTGTATAAATCAAAGGTAATGCTTAGTGACTTACGTTACTTTTATTTATTTATTTTTGAAGCAGAAAGAAAAATAAATCAAATGAGACAAAAACATTAAATTAAATTTCAATTATATTTTATAAAGGAGCAAAATGCTTATTCTTCCGCTTCCAAAACCTCCAATAACATTGGGGACATTTTTTTGTAGATAAATTGCAAAAAAGTAACAAAATTTTAGTACCATTTCATTACTTCGTTAATGGGATTGGACTGCTCCAGGCTGATCCAGTGACTGATCCAGTGACTAATCTAAGGGGTTTCTTGGGTTTGCAACACCTGCTCGAGGAGCAGGTGACTGTCATGGCCAGGAGGGCCTTTGCACAACTAAGAGTTATGTGCCAGTTATTCCCATTCCTGAACCAACATGCCCTTCTCACAGTCATCCATACCCTAGTCACTTCCCTTCTGGACTATTGTAATGCAATCTACATGGGGTTGCCCTTGAAGAATAACTGGAAGCTTCCATTGGTTCGAAATGCAGGGGCCCAAACAGTTTTGTACAAGTATGTGCTGCCAATCTGCTTCTTGGTACAATTCAAGGTTCTGGTTATCACCTTTAAAACCCTACATCACTTGGGAATGGGCCATTTGAAGGATCACCTCTCCCGATTATGTCCACCCACTCACCAGGCCTGGAAGGCAGGGTATGTTAAGGATCTTATCAGTAGAATTGTACATCTGGTGGGACCACAAAAAACAGCCTTCTTAGTGGTGGCCGCTTCTCTATGGTACAACATTCTGACCAAGATATGATGGCCCTTACCGTGTTGTTTTTCTGTAAGGCCCTAAAAATGTATTTTTGTCAGTGGGCCTGGGGGCTCCAAATGATTAATTTGATTGTGTTGCTGTTGCCATGGGTGGGTGAGATGGGGTTTTTGGTTCATTGTTGAGTTGGGCAGCTATAGAAATGGAAGGGAGGGAGGGAAGAAAGGAGAATTTATGTTGCAATTTTTAATGATGTAAGCCTCCCAGAGCCATCATGTATGAGTTGGGTGGCCATACAAATTTGTTTAGTAAATAAATGTAAGTAAAGTAAGTAAAAGTAAGTAAAGTAAGTAAAATTAACTTTAGCTTTTTGTTGCTGAAATTATACCAAAAGATTTTGTTTGGACGGGAAAAAAAGTATGTAGCTAATACTGCATAAAGCAAAAATCGCTAGGAAAAAAAGTAACTCTGGAGCCAAACTAGGCTAATTTTGACTTGCCAAAATGTTATAAAAGTGAATTTTGTAGATGACCTCCAGGCTTGAGCATATGGACAGAAATCAGATGAGGTGGAGGTGTGATCTTCTGGGTCTTGTTTGAACTCTCAGCAGTCTTTAATATAATTCACCACAGTCTCATTTTGGACTCCTGCTATGGTTAGAAGATGGGAATTCTTCTCTGCTGAAGTTCTACTCCTTCCAGAGTTGGTGATTATGACAGGAGAGGCTCCCACTTTTTTTTAATGTGGGAGGCCCTAGGGTTGACTCCTCTGTCTTCTCTTTAATATCTACAATAAACTGCTGAGTGGGAAAGGCAGGGGTCAGTTTTAATTAATTTGCTGAAAATAGTGTTTATATTGTCACGAAGCTGATCAGGCCATACAGTATCCACCCATCACCTTGATGGAGAAGCTGGGAGACTAAAAGATGACTTTGCCTAAGCCACCAATATGTTAAGAGCTGGCCCTAATTCTGGATATGGAAGCCTGAAGGGTATCATCTAATAAAATTATGTATAAGCAATCTGCATTTTAGGGTGATGTGATGCATCCATTTTTGGAGGGACAGCGTTACAAAATTTTGAAAAGAGTGGCTTCTCCAAGAACCAATCATTCTATTGGAATATTCATTTATTTTTTTATTTGTAACTCATCTCTTTTTCTTGTACATTTAGTCCACTCTTACCAAAATAAGAAGAAAGTGAAATCATTCCTCATCCTATTATTCTTTTTATCTTTCATGATATATTTAACACAATTAATCTATTTCTAAGAGATTTACATGTGGGCTTACTAGAACATCGTCATTGAAAAACTACTTGTTTTGCCTTTTAACTGTCATAAATGATGTCAAAAAAATTGCAAAACTGAGAACAGTTTGGTTGGTTTAGGAAGAGGAAGACACGGGTTCTAATTCAGCCATTAAACTCAATGGGGCTGCAATTCTCTGTCAGCCCACAGGGTGTTTGCTGTGGGGAAAATGGAAGGCGGGAGGGATCTCTCTAGAGTAAGGTGACCAGATGTCCCGCTTTTGGCGGGACAGTCCCGCTTTTGAGCAATTTGTCGCGTTTTAAAAAAGTCCCGATTTTTCATTCTGCCTCCTGGTTCCCGGCTGCCTCCTGAATCCCCGCTGATGGCTAGAGGGAAAAAACCTGTTTAAACTCTTGCCGCGGGGCTTCAAAGGGCCGCCCTACGTTAATTAGCTCGGCTTCCCCCTCTCAGCTGATTTGCACAGGGCTCTGCTCTTGCTAAATTGCTCAGTTTTTTTTTCCTCTTTGTGCAAACCAAGCTCAAAACGAAACTGGAAGTAAAACAGGCCGTTGGCTTTGCGGTTTGCTTGCAACGTTGGAAAATTAGGCAGCAGATTTATTTTCCTTTTCCTCACCAAAAAAGGTAAGTGCAAACAATGGAAAATTATTTAGGGCAAAAGAGGAGAGTTCAAGATTTTAAAACACAAAAGAAAAAAAAGCTCTTTTTAACTAGGGAATTGTAATAATTGAGATATTATTAATTGTATACTGTGTTGAAAGCAGAAATGGTTAAGTTGTGGTTTGGAGGAATATATGGGGGAAATTATTTGGTTTATTATTATTGGTAAGTATAATTAATTGATTTGTAAGAAATTGGATTGCATGGAAATAATTGGAATATTCATGTTCATATTGATTAATATACAAAAAAGATAGTTATATAACTAATTGATTTATATTAAAATGTTGAATTTGTATTAAACAACTGTATTACATAATTACATAATTAACCAATGTGAGGATGGATATAAAAATAGATGACAATGGGAAGGGGTATAAAATAGAATAGAAGGGAAAAATTGAATTTGATTAAGATTAGAGATGAGGATGAAGGGTAATATTGTTTTTTAAAAAAAATAGATGAGGAATAAATATGGCAAAAAGGAAATATAGAAATTGTAAATTTAATTGAAATGACTAAACACTGTTTAAATTTGTGAACCAGCCAAATATTCTGTTCAAAGAAAATACATTGTATGTATGTGTGTTTCTAATTATTGCTATTTATTCATATTTGTTCTCTTTTATTCTTTAAAGTTTAACAATTCATTCTTTATCTTAATATCTTTATATTTGTTTGGGGTTGGCTTTCTTCCCTTTCATCTTTTTTATTGTACAGCAATCTTTCTCCTCAAACCTACCACCTCTCTTTTCTTTCCTTCTTACTTTCTCTTCCCCCCCCCTCTTCTTCTCCTCCCTACTTCCTCTTCCTTTCTCCTTCTCCTCCTCTCTTCCTCCCTCTCTTAACCGTCACTCCTATTCTAATTTCCCTTCCCTTCCTTCATCCCTCTCAATTACTGTATCCTTTTATGCATATGGACTACTCAGAGGGCTGAAAAAGTTATTTTTGACTGGTCCTCGCACTTTTGACCAGTCCTCGAACTTACGACTGTCCTCGCATTTTACATTTTTGCCCTATCTTGTCATCATGGTGAAGAGAAGCAGTTGTGAAATGAGTGACATGGTTGTTAAGAATGCTGCATGGGCATAAATATGAGGATGGTCATAAGTGTGAGGACCAGTCAAAAGTGCGAGGACCTGTCAGAAATGACTTTTTTCAGCCCTCTGGTTAGTCCTTTTGTGCATATGGACTACTCAGAGGGCTGAAAAAGTTATTTTTGACTGGTCCTCGCACTTTTGACCAGTCCTCGAACTTACGACTGTCCTCACATTTTACATTTTTGCCCTATCTTGTCATCATGGTGAAGAGAAGCAGTTGTGAAATGAGTGACATGGTTGTTAAGAATGCTGCACGGGCATAAATGTGAGGATGGTCATAAGTGTGAGGACCAGTCAAAAGTGTGAGGACCTGTCAGAAATGACTTTCCAGCCCTCTGAGTAGTCCCTATACACATAGCCATGGCCACCCGGTCACATGACCAGCTAGCCACGCCCACCCAGTCACATGACCAGCTAGCCACGCCCACAAAATAAGCCACACCCACAATGTCCCTCTTTACCAATGTTAAAATCTGGTCACCTTACTCTAGAGGTAAAGTGAGGTATAAATCGTACCTTTCTCTTTGTGTGTCCAAAGTATTGTTAAAGAGTAAGAAAATCACACCTGAGGTAAATAGAAAAATTCCAGACAGTACATTTGAGAACTGGAAATTATCTATTATTAAAAATATCCAAACATTAAGATGCAATGCAATTCTGTGGTGTTTTTAGTTACATATTTATATATCCGTTGCTCAGCCTGAGGCCTTATTTTATTTATGAAAGTGATAAAAGAAGTCGGAAAGAAAACAAAGCTTTCGGTATACAGCATACTATGCAATTTCATTTTTATCTGGGGGAAAAAAACAAAACTTTGGGCCTCAGCATGCCAATACAATTTAGAAGTTCACATTTTCTTTGGAGAAAAGAATAGTCAAAACAGCAAGCTGCCTGGCCTAATTCACATCAGACAGATGTTTCTGGCATTTTGTGGTTGTAGTGCACATCTGGACTAAGATGTAAATCCCCAGTCAAATTTGTTACTCTGGGTTGTTTAGACAGCCTGCAGCGAAGTAATTTGCCCAAAACCAGGAATTCTTGTCCTCCTCTAGAGTGTATCTCTATAGTAGAGTATCAAATATTAAGCCAGATACCACAAAGTAGCCAATTTTGGACCACCTACCTCTGGCATGTGAAGGAAACCTCAGAAATCTTGTGGTGGCTTGAATTGCAGGCTGTGACCTCGATAGTATGAGAGTGGTTTCCTGGCCTTTGAAAGCATTCTTAGGAAGGAGGGATAAACAAATCATGGACCTTGATTTGGACAACTTAATGGAGCAAGTGTTGATCTTTCACCTCTGACATTAGTGCAAATGTCAGGCCCCGTGTTTATTTTTATTCAGGTAGAGGGCAATCTTCACACACATACAGACAAGATTTAGTAAAGCAAGTGGTGTGTCAGTGCAAAAGAGACAGGGGAGAGAGACATATTTTTATACCGTCTATTTCTGACACAGACAAAGAATTTTGCCAAAAGGAAGTGAACAGTGCAGAGTAAAAGGAACATATTTCACAGACATAAACACAGAGAGACATATATGCGTATCTAAGTACAAAGGTTTGGGAAACAAGTGGAAGAGAAACCAGACATTTGAGGAAAAAGAAAATCCTGTATTTTAATGTTTTTCTTTTGTGCCTCTGTAAAATACTAACATAAAGGGTATTTTGAGAATCAGGCCTCATAGACAATTTATTATATAAATTAGATTAAATTTTGGATTGGATTCCATTAAGGTGACTAAGTTCATCCTTAATCACCTTTGAGCATTCTGAGTTCAGTAATATCTTCTGAAAAGCATATTAATCAATAAAATTAATAAAATACGTTGAGATTATCCTATGGGCCTGACTTTTGGAACATATATACTACTAAGGCCCAGTTTGCTTTAGTGGTAAAAACATCAAGCTATAAACCAGAAGACTGTGAGTTCTAGCCCCACTTTAGGCCCAAAGCCAGCTGGGTGATTTAGGGCCTGTCAATCTGTCTCAGCCCTAGGAAGGAGGCAATGGCAAATCACTTCTGAAATCCTAAAACTGCAAGGACTTGTTCAAGAGTCTGTGACAATTGAGCAAGAGAGAAAGGGAGGGAGAGAGAAAGAGAAAGATACACTACTATTATTACTACTAAACACTATTAAGCTTTACTGTGAATTTTTAAAACAAAGTTCTTTAGAACATGTGTAAAAACATATTAAGCACTTATTTTGAAAATCCTGTATCTTTTTCCAGGCCTTGCATTACTTTAAAATCTTCTAGCCTCAATTTGACCACGTATACATACCCACATTGCTTTAAGTATGGTATAGTGATAAATACAATAACTGGTTATTTTGAATTAGTCTTCTTTTGCAGTTCATATTGAGTAGATGCCCAATAGCTTCTTTATAATACTTGAGAAACTCACAATAAGGCTGACTGACATGACTGGACAATGTCAGCAGCGTCAGGTGGCTCTTAACTGCCTTTATCAGAATGATGAAATCAGTAATGTCACCCTGCAAACTCTGCCTCTTTTGGATGTGCGTGCAATTTCACAACACATAAAAACTCTATTTAATTGCATTGTTACACAACAATGCTGCTGGTAGATCTAACCCGTCTTCTACTCTGCTTTGCAGATACCACAGGACAATGTTGTGTCACTCTGAAGCAGAGGCAGTTGGTGAGAATTAATGAAGTGGAAGCATAAGGCTCTTCTTGAATTTTTTTTTCCTGTGTAACAATAAATTGGCTTTGGGTATCTCACACTTGCTTGTAATTGACCATTACTTGTTTACATTGTCCATATAATCTCTAACTACCAAGAAAACCCTACCAATTGACTGAAAAGAGAGGAATGGAACTCGATTTTTTCTGTTCCATTCTGAGTAACTGAGCTTCAGGAAATCAAAATCCATAGCTATGGAGGGAGCCCAAGTTGCTGATAGAATTCAGATGTGTAAGTCATCAACATGCCTGGGATGATAGGTGTAGCATGCTATACATCTGAATATGGTAAAGGCTGAGCTATATACTTATACTCCAAATAAATCACTTAGCTAAGGCTAGCCATCGTTTTTATTGGGGTCCAGAAGTAAATCAAGATGATACTACAAGTTGGCATTTTGCTTTGTAGCATGCTCAGTTTCCCTTCTTTAAATTAAAATAATTTGTGAAAACAAAGATACTGGCTGATGCTGTGGAAAGTATCTGTGAAGACACTGTTGTCCATAATTGCCATGTTATAAAATCCATATATAAAATAGTCCTTATATTCCATGGATGTTATTTATAGTTTCTATACATTTCATTATATAAGTTAACTTGTATACACAGTTTCAAACTTTAAATATTTTATTTTTCAGTTGCCTACTGTATATGTTTAGAGGTTCTTTGGTCTTGCAATTTTCATCTACCAAAATATGTTTTTTCACTGAAAATAATTTAAAAAGTAACATAAATGCTTCTTTTCAAATAATATATAGAAATACAATTTCTCCTGCTACTTGCTGCCTTTCGTTTCATTTCATTTTGTTCTGTTTTGTTTTGCTTTGAATTAGAAAGATTCACTTTTAAATATAAATCTTTAAGACATAATGTAGAAGAGGAAAAATTTGTGGGGGTTAATAAAGAGTGTCACTGCCACCAATCTGGAATAAAGCATAAATATACACAAACAATGAGCTGATGGAACATACAGGTGTCTCACCTCTGTCATTCAGTAGTTTTACTTTCAGAGGGGAGGTGACAACAAAGATATAAAAGAATCTGAACCTATGACTTCCTCTCAAATAATTGTTCATTAGGAGGCATCTGCTAAAATCATTTGCCTCATTTTTTGCCTTCATTAGTCCTAGAGCTTCAAACACAGGCAATGCTCTTGTCCTGACAAAACACGGGAAAGATCATAGTGCTTTGAACCTTCAAGCAGAACAAAAGAGAGAAAACAGCCATCTGACCAACCTCTGGTGGCTTTTCTCCAAGGTCAGTTCTGTCAAACACTGGAACTAATGTAGTTCAGGCCATCGGTGACAGGAATGTTTCTATCTAATTCTCACATCTACCCTTTTCCCTTTTTTAATAATTTTGTTGAATAAAGAATGTCAAATATATGATACAACATTGCAGACAAAATATATTAAGTGAAATCTTTGAATTTAGCCTTAGGCAGGTTGGACATTGCACAGTCTAATTCCAGATGTTGTTATTCTTTTTCTATTGGACAATGAATAGGTCACACTTTGTACATGGGGTAGTCTCAGAATTTTAAACCTGAGAAATATGGCTATTTTTAAAATAGCTTATTGTTTTAGTGGGATAAAATGAACAGAATAAGGTTATAATCAAATCATTCCTCTACACATTCAAACATGGACAGTCTAGCCTTGCTCCACTGCCTACAGTATATTGGGCCTACGGCTCTTCACATTATTTAAGACTGTCTTCATGAAAAGGAGCTTGTTTAGATCAGTATCCCCGTTGCATGCACACTTCCTACATTCTATGTCCACAGAGCTCCTTCACCTGTTTCCTATGTAGGCATGAATATAATCGTTTCCACCAGACATATCAGTGGGATGGCCCCTGCCTTGCATGTGTGGAGTGTGTTATCTGAATCTTATCCCTTTGCTAGAATTAACCATTCTTACTAAATCATAAACCATGATTATTCTCATTAATCATAGTTTGCTCAAGTGTATATCTATTTAGTAATTATTAATACTAAGAAAAGAGAATTCTCATTTTGAGGGGGAAAACTTACTTCTATAAAAATAGCACTATTCAGAAAACGTTAGCCTTCATCCATTGATACAAGTCGATTTGTTACAACACTCCTTTGTTTTCAGGAGAACTAACTTTCTGTTCTTCTTTATATTTATTTATTTTATTTATTTTATTTTATTTTGAGTTATATGCCGCCCTTCTCCAGAGACTCAGGGCGGCTTACAAGGCGTTAAGCAATAGCCTTCATACTTTTGTATATTGTATACAAAGTCAGCTTATTGCCCCCACAAACAGGGTCCTCATTTTACCTACCTTAGAAAGGATGGAAGGCTGAGTCAACCTTGAGCCTGGTGAGAATTGAACTCGCAGTAATTGCAGGCAGCTGGAAGCTAAATACTACCTTTTAACAGTAGCATTAGTCTGCTGCGCCACTCAGGCTCCTCATATTTATCCCATTCAGTGGCATCCTTAGTAAATCACAATAACAACTTAGGCACAGTGGTGTCATTACACAGGTGTTGTTCTTATGCACTTGCATCCTGCTAGCTGAATCAAGTGTGTAAAAACTACAATTTCCACAACGATATGATCACACTTTTTAAATTATTTATTCCTACCCCAGAGCACCCACAATCCAATTGTAAAAAATGGAATTATTAGATAATTAAACTATTTAACCCAAGTTTAGTCAAACCCAAGTTTAGTTTACTCAGGTAGTTATTTAGCTAATACTGGACACAAAGAAACCCTGCTTACAAAATTGGAAATGGATAAGAGTTTTTAAAGTTAAAATGTTATTTCAATGATCCATAAACCCTCAATATTCTCCTTACCTTAACTCTGTATGGCATTATGTTGAAATAAACTGCCAGTAGGACAAAAATTATATTCAAGGTTAATATGGTTTTATTTTTCTGCTCAGTAAGTGTTTCTACACTGGAATAAGGGAAATGAGAATATCTTTCCTTGTCACAATTTATTAATCTGAAAAATTAATTCTGATAATTCAGATTTGGAATCTCAGGTTTTTCTAGCATGTATATAGAAAGTAATACGAAAAAGGAAGTGCACTTTATGGCATTAGTAAATATTCTGACAGTCATTATAAGTGGGTATATCAATCTTGTACACATACTTAATATATTTGCCACTAGAGGGGGCTAATATTTAGATCAGATCAAAGTTCTAATATTAAACTCATCAACAGGAACAAGGTCAAATAGAAAAAAATGATATTTATTTGGAAGTTCTGACAATCAAGATAGAGGCAAAGGTGTTCTCTACATTTACATATATAACATTGAACATTCTGGTATATAATTTTGGTTATCTAAATCTCTTTTAATAACAATAAATAGTATGTTTTTATTCCCAATACCATAGAATATTAAAAGCATTCCAACAAAGAAGGCTGGAAAATGAGAAGTTGTTACATTAACAGTTTAATTTTAAATTTATCTTACATTGTCATATAAAATTTGTGCATATGTATGCCATATTAAACAACTGAGTTAACTAATTCTCGGATGAGAGGTTGGACTTAATGATTCTTGTGGTCCCTTCCAACTTAATAATTCTACCATTCTGTAATAAGAAAAGCACTTGACATCCTTTTCAGCACAGATGCCTAGAACATAACATTCTTCTGTTTTCAGTTACATCAGTAGGAACTAACACCACTCAGTTTTTTGCAAGGCAATAAGTGCCCAAGATACCCTGCTTTTTAAGCATTATTTTTTGATAAATATGCATCAAGTGTGAATGACGCCCAAGTTTTAAACATCTGAACTGATAAGACACAAAGTACTTTCCTCATTTCTTTCAGCAAACATTTGTTTTGTTCTTACAAAAAGTAGAAAAATGCCTGGATAAAATGTGATCAATACAAACCCCCTCGGTCCAATCAACACAACTCTCATGTACTTGTGTAACAGGACTTGGATGAATATTTGCACCAGTCAAAGGACTTTCTATAATTCCAAACAAGTGTGATCATATCATTCTGCAAATTTCACCTTTTACTGACTAGGTTCAATGAGCAGGATACAAGTACATCAGGAGAGCAGCACCTGTGTAATGACATCACCATGCCCAGGTCATCATTGTTATGGATGCCACTGAATGGGATAAGCATATTTAAGAACACAAAGTTAGTTCCCCTGAAAACAACGGAATGTGCAACAAATTGATTCATATCAATGGATGAAGACTAACATTTGCTGAATGGTGCTACTTCTATAGAAATAAGTTTTCCTCCCAAAATGAGTATTTTCTTTTCTTAGTATTAATAATTACTAATTAGATGCTCCTTTGAGTAAACTATGAAAAAATCACAATCATGGCTAATTCCTGTAGCTCATTCCTTAGCTTAGAAGAGGAAGGAAGGAAGGAAGGAAGGAAGGAAGGAAGGAAGGAAGGAAGGAAGGAAGGAAGGAAGGAGGAGGAGGAGGAGGAGCAGGAGGAGGAGGAGGAGGAGGAGAAGAAGAAGAAGAAGAAGAAGAAGAAGGAGAAGGAGAAGGAGAAGGAGAAGGAGAAGGAGAAGGAAGAAGAAGAAGAAGAAGAAGAAGAAGAAGAAGAAGAAGAAGAAGAAATCCTGACTTAGATATCATGGGTCTGTATTAGATTTCTCCATCTTTCAGGTGTGTCTTTCAGATGTGTTAGACTACATTGCCCAGAATTGTTATTAGAAGCATGTTTTCTGAAGCTTTAGTGAAATGTACTTCAAATATCTTTCCATTTGCTAGCTGTGAACTCAAGGCATTGTCCTCGTTACACTTCAGAAAGTTGAAGAAGTTGAAAGTCTTTGTTTTGCCTCATGATTTGAGATCTGATATCTGTGACGTTATTTTGCAGGAAGAATGTTTTGATTTTAATTTAATTACTTCATGTATTGTTCTCATGATGTTTAATTCAACTGTGTTTCTGCACTAGACTCTGTGAATCTACCTCACAAGGAGAGGCTACCACATAAGTGTGTAGGTTGATTAATGAAAATTTAACCTGCACTATCTATATACTACTAAAACTCTCATTATGTTCACCT